AGCACTAACTCCACAGGCTCCCTGTCTCCCAGAGCCTGATCATCCCTGTTCTACTTTCTGTCTCTCTGGATCTGAATGTTCTGCCATGAGTGGAATCAGACAGCATGCATCCTTTTGTGATGACCTTACGTTCCCTTGGCATCCTGTCCTTGAGGCTCATTTCATCTTGGAGCATGTGCTAGACTTCCTTCCACTTGAGGTTGAAATCACATTCCATTGCCTTTCGAATGCCCTCGAACTGTGGTGCTGGAGAAGATGCTTGAGAGTCCCTTGGACTGCATGGTTATCCACCCAGTCCGTCAATAAAGGAAATCAGTGCTGAATGTTCATTGGAAGGACTGATGCTGCAGCTCCAGTACTTTGGCCACCTGATGGGAAGACCCAGCTCGCTGGAAAAAGAGCCTGATGCTGGGAAAGATTGAAGGCAGGAGAAGCGGGTGACAGAGGATGAGATGGTTGGATGGCATCACCAACTCAATGGACATGAGTCTGTGTAAACTCTGGGAGTTGGTGATGGACAGGGAGGCCTGGCGTGCTGCAGTCCATGGGGTCACAGAGAGTCGGACACGACTGAGCGACTGAACTGAACTGGCAGTATTCCATCGTGGGTGGGTATATGTCACATTTTTTCTACCTACTCATCCATTGATAGATGCATGGCTCATCTCTGCGTTTTGGCTACTGTGAGTAATGCTACTGTGAACGTTAAGTGAGTTTATCCTTTAGTTTTCAGACGCATGGATGGGTGTGTGTGAGGGGCTGCTCACGGGAGCGGTGGGTGGCGTGGTGGAAACTGGAAGATTGAAGGCTTTGGAAGGGGTGTGCGTGTTTGTGATCATGAGCAGCCACGAGCTAGGAGTGTTTGAGATGGTGGAAGTGCATCTGCAGTCAGGTCATGATCGTTGAGGGTGGTGGAGGGGTTGAGACACCGACTCAGGAGTCCCAGTGTTAACCACGCGGGCGTCTGTGCCGTGTGTCTGAGGATTCAGTTCATTGTTGAAAACGTTAACGATTTATGGAGACCGGAGATTAGGTTTACTTCGTCTGGCTTGTGTTCTGTTTTTTGTTTTCTTGTTCCCTCAAGGGTCCTACCTTTGCGACGGTCTTGCTGCTCTTCCTGTTTTGATGATTTCTGTCTGGTTTATGGGACTTTTCTTGCCCATAAAAAGATGGGTTTTGAAAATAATTTTTAAGACAATTTTTCAAATTTCTTATTTGGCCAGCGCTGGGTCTTCATGGCTGTTGGCGGCTTTTTCTCTAGCGGCGATGATGGGGACTCTTCATTGATGATGAAGGCATTCAAGATGACTGCTCTTCATTGTGGCAGGCAGTAGCTCATGTGGTTCTTGGAACACAGACCCTAGAGCTAAAGTCAGTAGTTAGGGTGCGTGGGCTTCGTTGTCCCAAGTCGTGTGGAGTCTTCCCGGACCTGGGATTGAACCCAAGTCCCGTGCATTGGCAGGCCGTTCCTAACCGCTTGGACCCCCGGGGAAGGCTCCCTGTCGTAAAGAGTGGATGGAAGGTTTGTGTCTCTGCCTTGTGCTATAGCAGTTTCTTCAGTGGCATTTGCTCTTGCTGTTTGATGTGTGGGGAGGCATGTCAAGCGTCCAGACCCCAGAGCGTGTTGAATTGTCTATGGATGACCATTTGGGAGATACAGATGGCGGGGGGGGAGGTTGCATGCTTCGGTGCTGCGGTGTGTGCGCCTTTGGGGGAGGCAGACCTGGGGCTGTCCTGTCTATACCAGCCAGACTGTCTGCAGCAGGGTGGAGGGAGGTGGCTACCTGGAGCGTGTGTAGTCCCCAAACTTCAGGGCACACGGTGCTCAAATAGGAGGGCTGAGGAGGGGCCGGGTTACGGTTAAAAGTAGGGGAGATGCTGGCAAGAAGGAGTTAGAATGTTGATCTCCCTGACAGCTCAGTCGGTAAAGAATCTGCCTGCAATGCAGGAGACCCCAGTTCGATTCCTGGGTCAGAAAGATCCACTGGAGAAGGGAAAGGCTACCCACTCCAGTCTTCTTGGGCTTGTCTTGTGGTTCAGCTGGTAAAGAACCTGCCTGCAATTCAGGAGACCTGGGTCCAACCCCTGGGTTGGGAAGGTCCCCTGGAGGAGAGGAAGGCTCCCCAACTCCAGGATTCTGGCCTGGAGAATTCCACGGACTGTATAGTCCATGGGGTGTCACAGAGTCGGACATGACTGAGTGACTTTGACTTTTTTCCTTACCCTTCGAAGATTTTATTAGAGGGGCTGCAAAGAGGAAAAGGATAGATTCTGGGTGGAGGGGGTGAAAACGAATGTCTGGACGCATGTGAACTCTCTCTGATGGACAGAGCCCTTCTTGTGACCTTCATCACGGCACTGAGGGCCCACGGAGGCCGTGGGTGTCCTGGAAATGCCGTGGTCTTGTCTGGAAGGTGACTTGGGTCCGGGTGGATCGAAGCTCCTCCGTGGCATAGCTGTGGCACCCTGTCAGGGTGACCTCTAAGCTGCCTTGGCTCTGAAATCAGGAGAAGGGAGTTGGCAATATTGCTTTCCTAAGGTGGTTGTGTGAGTTCAGTGAGATGCCGCAGGTGAAATTCCTGGTGCGTGGACACTTGGGAAAGGTTCGTTTCTGTTAGACACAAGGGTCATCTTGTGGTCCCTACACCCTGTTTCTTTCTCGTGACTAATTTAGGTTATTCTGGAAGACTGGGCTCTGGTGTCACCTTCTCCACGGGGCGTCTCTCTCTCTGCCACCCAGATGGTGCTTTCTGGTCTGTTTTGTAATATGCCGAGGGCAGTCTGTTACGGCACTGCTGTGTTGTCTTACGATGATCTGTAGATACATCCCCCTCTCTTTTCCCATGACTCTGCCCTTGGTGTTACGGCCAGGGCTCTAGCACATTCATCGTGTATCCCCACCGCTCGCAGAGAGCCTGACATGCCACGGGTACCCAGGCAGAGAGGCGAAGGCCACCTGGTGGAATCGTCTCCTCCCCAACGCTTGATATCAAATCAACCTGAAGGGCATGTCCCAGCAATTGCAGGTGATCTTTGCAGGCTGTAGGCGGAGAGTTAGAGCTAGCCTCACCTGGTGGGATCCCAAAGGGTGCCCGGGGAGGGGGGATAGATTTGGTTCTGGGCAGAATCCTAGAAGACCTCCATCACTGGCAGTGGAACAGGGTTTGTGTGTGTGGGACAGGTGGTCCTGGTAGGTCAAGGAGGAAGCAAGAAGCAAAGCCGTGGGCCCTGTGGACAGAGATCACGTGGTCTGTTTTCAGCATCGGCGTGATCCCAGGGTCGGAAGCTCACACATGCGGAGTGCTCACTGAGGGCCAGGCAGGGGGTTGCTGTTGGACAGGGAGGCCTGGTGTGCTGCAGTCCGTGGCATCGCAAAGAGTCTGACACGACTGAGCGACTGAACTGAACTGATCTGAGGTGAGGGTTTGGGTTCTAGAGGATTGAGTGTACTAGATGGGTTACCAGGACAAAGAATGAGCTCTTGAAGTGAACTGAAAACTCGGGGTTTGGGTTCCAGAGGGTCAGGTGTACTAGATGGGTTATCAGGACAAAGAATGAGGCATAGAGCACAAGTTACAAAGAAACGACTCTCGCGTGGCTCCTGAGTCACGGGACCCAGACCTGCTGGAGCCTGATCAACACATTTCAGAGAACATGGTCAGAGCCAGGCGGGCAACCCGGACTTCCCAGTGCCCTAATTAAGAGCTGTTGAAACTTGTTCTGTTTACTGGAGAGACCAGGTCATCGGACCTGTGACTTTGCTTCTCCTTTGGACATAAAGGCAGAATGTCCTTTCTGTATAAGGTATAAACATAAGAGCAAACAGAATGTCACTCGCCAGGATAAAGAAGTACCTGGGGAATCAAGCAATATAAGAACGAAGCCAAACCAAAAAAAAAAAAAAGCAAAGGTGTGTTTTGTGGAACTGAGCTATAATTAGCTGTGCTAATTCGGTTTTGTAGACACGGATGATTGTGAGGCCTTTATGATGCAGCTCAAGTCACTAAAACTTATTAAGCGTTCAGCACCTAATGTGGAAATCTCAGTAGAGTGGGCCTGAGCTCCTGAGGCTAGATTTGGCAATTCAAGTTCTGTGTCTCTGAGATAAAAGAGGTTTCTGTCTTGCTCCTTGGAATACTGCATGGCCAGATTGAATCTGCGCCAGAGATGGAGATGAACCTCAGGGTGGATATGGTCAGAGGGAGCTGCCTTAGAAGGAAGAGGGGAGAGAGATTGCACAGGAGATTTAGCAGTTCTCGTGGGTGAGAGTGTATTCTCTGGGTTTGGCCCTCCGTTTCGTTTTGTATGTCTGGGTTATAGTCAAGCTGTTTGTGAAGAGCATGCACATGTGCTTAGTCATGTCCGACTCTTGTGACCCCATGCACTGTAGCCCGCCGGGGTCCTCTGTCCATGAGGTTTCCCAGGCAAGAATACTGGAGTGGGTTGCCATTTCCACCTCCAGGGAATCTTCCCAAGCCAGGGATCGAACCTGGGTCTCCTGCATTGCGGCCAGATTCTTTTCCACTGAGCCACCCAGGAAGCCAAAAGACCCTGCGTTTAGTTTTGAATGTATTGGTTGTAGTAATGCTGTTTAGTTAACTTAAAAATTTAAAACTTGAGAGTCCTGAGGGTGTGTGTGTTAGATGCAAAAGCACTCTCTCCCTCATAATCTCACTGCCCAGAGTAACCACCGTCGATAGTTTTCTTGTGTATCTTTGTGGATATGGTCAGAGGGAGCTGCCTTAGAAGGAAGAGGGGAGAGAGATTGCACAGGAGATTTAGCAGTTCTCGTGGGTGAGAGTGTATTCTCTGGGTTTGGCCCTCCGTTTCGTTTTGTATGTCTGGGTTATAGTCAAGCTGTTTGTGAAGAGCATGCACATGTGCTTAGTCATGTCCGACTCTTGTGACCCCATGCACTGTAGCCCGCCGGGGTCCTCTGTCCATGAGGTTTCCCAGGCAAGAATACTGGAGTGGGTTGCCATTTCCTCCTCCAGGGGATCTTCCCAAGCCAGGGATCGAACCTGGGTCTCCTGCATTGCGGGCAGATTCTTTTCCACTGAGCCACCCAGGAAGCCAAAAGACCCTGCTTTTAGTTTTGAATGTATTGGTTGTAGTAATGCTGTTTAGTTAACTTAAAAATTTAAAACTTGAGAGTCCTGAGGGTGTGTGTGTTAGATGCAAAAGCACTCTCTCCCTCATAATCTCACTGCCCAGAGTAACCACCGTCGATAGTTTTCTTGTGTATCTTTCCCAATGTTTTATAAGCAGTTATAAGCATGTACAGCCTGGTTTTGAACAAAAACAAACTTGTCAATAAAATACACACACATATGCATACATATGGGCTTCCCTGATGGTTCAGTGGATAAAGAAAGTGAAAGTAGCTCAGTCATGTCCGACTCTTTGCCACCCCATGGATTATATAGTCTGTGGGATTCTACAGCCCAGGATACTGGAGTGGGTAGCTTCTCCAGGGGATCTACCCAACCCAGGGATCAAACCCTTGTTCCAGAGGGTAAAGAATTCGCCTGCAGTTCAGGAGACACAGGAGATGGGGGTTCAGTCCCTGGGTCGGGAACATCCCCCGGAGGAGGAAATGGCAACCCCACTCCAGTATTCTGGCCTGGAGAATCCCATGGACAGAGGAGCCTGGTGGGCTACAGTCCGTGGGGTCGGCAAAGAGTCCAGCATGACTGAAGCGACTAACAGATGCACACGTATCTTGGACATGTTGGTATACCAGTAACACTTAGTAGATCACATGAGTGTCCGGCAGGGTTCCTAGTTTTAAACAACCAAATCAGTTCCTGCCTAACATAAGCCAGACTCATAGGAACCGAAGAAAGTCAATGAAACTGGTCTCGGGAGCAGCAGGAATCAAGGGCTCTCTGCAGAGTCGACCATTCTCACCCCAGCAGGAACTCCGTGGTCAGAATATCATCATGCCAGTGTAACCAAGGGGAAAAGAAACTCCAGATATGTCTCTGTTCTTGAGTCGGTCACTCAGGATTTAGTGGATGTGTGTGTTTATGCATGTGGGTGAGTGCCCTTGCATATTCCATTGGCTGAACCAGAGTCCGGTGCCATTTCTAGGCTAGACCAGGGCCCCCGGTCGAGCCAGCCAGTGGCACGTAACTTTTTTTGGCTTCTGAAGTTTGGAAAAGTTTCTGATAATTTGCTGTGATAAATGGTAAAAATTTGACAAACGATTTGGTGCGTGAGAAAAATTCTGTGGAAGAACTCTCCGTAGGCTAGTAGCTTGTGGCTTTGATACGTTCCATCTTTGTTTCTCCTCTGCCTTCATGACGTTTTCAGTTCAGTTCAGTCTCTCCGTCGTGTCCGAGTCTTTGCGACCCCATGGACTGCAGCACGCCAGGCTTCGCTGGTCCATCACCATCACCCAGAGCTCGCTCAAACTCACGTCCGTTGAGTCGGTGATGCTGTCCAACCATCTTGTCCTGTTGGAGTTTCAGCTTCAGCATGTCTTTCCAGTGAATATTCAGCACTGATTTCCTTTGGGATGAACTGGTTGGATCTCATGTTGTTTAGATTTTATTTATTTTTTTTGGCCTCACCTAGCAGTGTGTGGGATCTGAGTTCCCTGACCAGGGATCACATCCTGGTCAGGGAATGCACCGAGTTTTAACCACTGGAACACTAGGGAATTCCCCCACATGCTCTTCATGATATTCTGTCCGGCACTGCGTGCTGTGTTCTAACGTTGGATAATTTGTCCTAAAATAGNCTCATGCTTCATCCTCCCTGCATTTCTCATGATGTACTCTGCATAGAAGTTAAATAAGCAGGGTGACGATCATACAGCCTTCACGTACTCCTTTCCCAATTTTGAACCGATCCGTTATTCCGTGTCTGTGACATTTTGAATTTTGTCAGGGATAATTTGGAAGAAATCTGTTTCCTCTCTTGTTATGTAATCTCTGCGTCACACTCTCGGTTTCGCCCTTTGACTCACCAAGCTTCCGCTGTTTCCTGTCTGGCCCTTTCGAGAAAGATCCACTGACCCCCAGATGTATAGAATCAGGTGTTGGGCATTGTGCATACCTGTCTGTTGTAAAAGCCATTCACATCCCTATGTTTTATAACTAGAACTCAGAGGACTGGTCTTCCTTCTGCACCAGACAGACTCCTTGCGGACAGGAGTTCTCTTCTTCCCTAAACTTTGTGATGCTTTCAGTTACCAGTGGTTTCTGAGCTTAGAGAGAGAGAGAGAGTGTGTGTGTGTGTGTGTGTGTGTGTAAGGGGGTGGTCCAGCATGACTTGCACACCTCAGGGACTGGACCTAGTTTCATGTAGCCGTTCTTTCCCTTTGGAACTTGGGAGAAGAAGATGATGAGGTTGGCCCCTCTCTGCTCGGGTCCTGAAAGCAGCACTTTTTCCAGCGTCCACCGTGGGGTGGAAGCCTGGAGGAGTGGTTGGAACAGATCGAACAGCGCTCCTAGGATTCGGGGCAGGGTGGTGGGCAGACAAGGCCCGGGCCCGTTCCCCACCTCCGTTCGAAGCTGGAGAGGTCTGTCTTAGAAATCTCAGAGAAAGAACCCTTTCTCTTCCGATCACGGTCGTTTTCAAGAGGAGCTATGGTGACCTGAGATCTCAGAAATGCTCCTCTCTGATCGTGCCCAAGTCTCCATGCCATTAGTGAGGCGGGGGAAAAGAGGTAGATGGAAGCGTGCAAATTCGTATGGGTGTTCCGGATAAAGGAGAAAGGACTGGCTTTTATGTAGACTCTGTTCCCTAGTAATCCAATTCATTCTCTCTCCACCAATTGGAGGAAGATAAACAGTCATTTCAAGGTAATATTTGTGTAACCTACAAAATTCTCGGTCAGGTGAGGGAAAGGCGGAATCTGTGTTAATATGACCGTCTCCTGAGTTCTCTCCTTGACTGCAGGCTTTGGTGTGAAACTAATGAAATGAAGGCGATTTTGATTTGTGTTAGATTCTTCAAAGTCATCTCAGTAAAATAGTCTGTCTTTTTTTTTTTTTTTTCATGGCAAAATGACTTCTAAAGCTTTCCTTTGTAAGAACTTAACATCCTTGTCTTTTTAACTGAATGTCAGTCAAAACAGTGTTAGGCAGAATTTATTGCATTTTTAAGACCCTCCCAAAGGAAAAGAATCCTAAAGGAAATCAACCCTGAATATTCATTGGAAGGACTGCTGCTGAAGCTGAAGCTCCAATCCTTTGGCCACCTGATGCGAAGAGCTGACTCACTGGAAAAAACCCTGATGCTGGGAAAGATTGAAGGCAGGAGGAGAAAGGGACGACAGAGGATGAGATGGTTGGATGGCATCACCGACTCGCTGGACATGAGTTTGAGCAAGCTCCGGGAGATGGTGATGGCCAGGGAAGCCTGGCCTGCTGCAGTCTGTGGGGTTGCAGAGAGTCGGACACAATTGAGTGACTGAAGAACAAAAGGAAGATAATTCCGACCGTAATGCATAATGATCTGGGGAAGTAGATTGCTCTGGCTTTGAGGACCATGAATGCTTTAAGTACAGGCTACACAGATCCTGGGGACCGTTCTGTAGCTGAGAGCCGTGGTTCTTAGCCAGTGACGACTTGTGTTCCCCAGGGCTCATCTGGCGGTGCCTGGAGACGTAGTCCCAGGTGGGGGTCAGGAGCAATGTTCTTGAGTTCTGCTGGGTAGTGGGCCAGGGGTGCTGCTTGACAAAGCCTCAGTGGCCTCTACAAGAGCTTTCACTACTGAGACCGTGTGTGTGCGCGCGCGTGCTCATTCAGTCGTGTCCGACTCTTTGCAACCCCATGGACTGCAGCCCACCAGGCTCCTCTGTCCATGGGATTCTCCAGGTAAGAATACTGGAGTGGGTTGCCATTCTCTTCTCCAGGGGATCTTCCCGATTCAGGGACTGAACCCACGTCTCCTGCATTGGCAGGTGGATTCTTGACCACGGCCCCACCTGGGAAGCCCCGTGCCTGTGATGCCATGTCCCAAAAAATGTCTGTTGAGTGGCTGCAGGGGCTTCAGGTATCGCTGAGGTCTTTACTCTTCAGCTGTGGAGTCCGGAGGGGCAAGGTCACTTTCCCCTGGACTGTGGACTGTGGACACAGTTCTTAACGATACAAACAGCGAGAGGAGATCTGGAATATTTGCAGCACATTTCTGAGCAGAGCAGCTCTGTGGAGTCAGCTGAGAGAAGCAGATGATGCCTTGTGAGTCTGTTGGGGCATCTTGAGTTTGTAGTTTGGGGGTTTGCAGGCTGCAAAGCAGGTAACCGTCCGTAGAGGTTTCTCTCAGGAACGTGTGTGCATGCTCAGCCCACTGAGCTGTGTCTGACTCTGTGCGACCCCACCTGGAAAGTGCCCCGAATGTTAACAGTGCTCATCTTGAGAAACTGGAGTGCAGACTGTTTCAGAGCCTCACTTCATGACTTTTAAAACATGACTGTTTAAGCTTTATTATGCATGCATAGACACATGTGCACGGACACAGGTGTGTGCACTCATGCCACCCGTGTGGGCACACACAACGGACCGTGTCACCGTACACAGGCCGTGTGCTGCAGGGCTGGGCCCCGATACCTGGTTTTAATGCCCAGCATTTTCCCCAGGTGCTTGTGAATTCCTGTGCCTGCTGCCTGCATCTGGTTGATGATGTGTGTGGCAGTGATATTAAGACCACAGGACCTCGTGTCTTTTTGTGCTCAGGAGTCCAAGGTAGAGTTGATCTCGTGTTTTGAAAGTGTAGTTTGCAAGATTTAATTTTTAGTGCGGCGGATTTCAGCGCGGTTTTCTTTTGCACCATAAGTTGGTTATGTTGTATGGACTGCTATACACCTTCCTGCTACAGAAGCGGAGATGGTTAGCCAGAGGGGCTCAGATGCAAATAGACAACCCCCTACAAATACAGAGAAAGAACCCTCCTGGGGCATGATATAGATAGTCTTTCGAAATGCTTGTGTTCCAACATGTGTGTGGAGAGAACGTGAGATGTTTGACCGTGGAGGTTAAGACCGTGGGTTTGGGTGAACAGCAGGGGGACTCAGTCACACACACACGTGTATAACCATCCTTCCCCAGGCTCCTCTCCCGT